TGAAGACGAACTTTAAATGAAAACCATCTGCTCAATGACAAGATTGAGCTTTTCTTGGTCTCTTTCCTTTCGTACCAAACGTGTTTGTGCTTCCCACTGATAGTATCATCTGTGAGCTAAGACTCTCGAACAGCACTCAAGGGATTTTTCTGAGAGTTCATGTGCGATGATCAGAAGAATTCGGCTGTTTTCAAGGTGAAGAGGGAAATATTTTCTTCAAATACGATCTATTACATGCATAAACTGTTATACACTCGTGGAAATTAACATATCACAAATGGATGCAAGTCTAGATGGTCTTCATCCCAAACTAATTCCTATCCTACTTGTCAAAAAGCAATTTACTGTTTTCATCAAGCAGTTATTTGGTCGGCTACTCGAATATGATCAAGAAGAAAAGAAAGCGTCACAAGTTGTTCAGATCACGAAAATGTATCTGCCAATCGTATTTGCCTTTGCAGTAACTACTTACCTAATATGTAGTACTTAGTCGAGTAAAGAGAACAAAAGATGTGGGTATTCTCCGATCTTTCGACATAAAAATCCTACAAATCCGACTTTCTGTTGCTCAGAATGCTAAACTCAAACATCTAATTAGATGAATTTGACAGAAAGACACAACGAGAATGTGTCCATTTCACTTTTTTGAGATTGTGTAAATAAATAATTTGCTGAAAGTCCTGAAATATCACTCTTATGAGAAGGAGTTGAACGATTCCGTAGATGAGCGTTACTTATTTTCTTAGTTAAATTGTCATTTTCTTTGTAAAATTTTAAACAAGAATTTTTATGCGTCAATAATTAGAAATTTTGATCTATCCGAATCGAGTTATAGACGATTGAAATCATTCAAGGTGAATAAATTCTTTTTTCATTTCTCTCAAACTGGAAAAGAAGGTCTACGGTTATTAATTCATATTTTTTGTTACCAAATAAAGAAAATGAACCATTTACATTGTAGTCTACGCGTATATGTAGATTACGGGTACAAGACAGTATTCATACAGTACTTTATACAGAAAATAGTTTTGAAACAACACTGTGTAGAAGTTCAAATATCTCTTATTCAATTAATACTACTTTATTTTCGTGAGAGTTCTATGAAAGTTAAAAAACTCAATACTTTAATTTCCATCATTTTCTAGCTTATATCACGGATAAGTTGATCTATAATACAAAAGTTCTTTTTAATAGTTCAATTTGAAGATGTTTTCAATTGCTAAGGAGTCTGAATCGTATGATTAAAACTGTAAAGTCTATCAAAAATTAACTTTATTAGAATGGTTGTTTCAATAATTAGTAAAATAATTCTTTTCTAAAGTCAAGTTATGTAACATACCGGAAGCATGATTGTTTCCATTTTCACAATCGTTATCTTCGTCTTCATCATTCTCATCATGTGGATCCATTATTCTTTGAAGTTTAACTGCTTGTGCATAACGTCCATTGAGTCTCATTAACTCTTCATGAGTACCTTGTTCGTCGATTTGACCTGCATTGAGACCGATAATATGATGTGCTTTTCGAATTGTTGTCAATCGATGAGCAACAACAATTGTTGTTCGACCTTGAGAAGCTCGTTCAAGACCAATTTGTACTTCACTTTCATTCTTTGCATCTAATAGAGAAATTATATCACTTATTCGATTTTATAGTTTCAAATCGAATTAAAAAAAAATTAAATTTGGTGTAATATCGTCAAAGATTTCGATTTAATCTTTGAATATTAACCGAAATAATATTCAACTTGAGTGGAATGTTCCTGTTTATCTTCAATTACCTAATGCAGATGTTGCTTCATCTAAAAGCAAGATCTTTGGATTCGATAATACTGCTCGTGCAATAGCAATTCTAAATTGAAATTTAGTTTTAATAAGATTGAAAAACATCATTTAATAAGTGAATTTACCTTTGTTTTTGTCCTCCTGCCAAATGTGATCCTTGAACTAATGTATTATAACCCTAAAAGTAAAAAAAAAAAAACTATTTCTAGACCTGAATAAACTGTTGTATATCCATACATTCGGTAACTCCTTGATGATGAAGTTGTGAATATTAGCTATTTTTGCAGCCGCTTTAATCTCTTCGTCACTCGCTGTCTCATGACCAAAGCGAATATTTTCAGCAATCGTATCATTAAAAAGAACGGGTTCTTGAGAAACCACAGACATATTTGATCGAAGCCAAGATAGATTTAAATGACGAATATCATTATTATCGAGTAGAACCTAATCAAATAAATAATATATCATTATTATTTATAATAAACGTACCTGTCCTTCTTCCGGATCATAAAAACGTTGTACTAGATGAATAATTGTACTTTCTAAATATTATAATATAACATGTGTCATAAAATATAAATAAAATTATTCATGTAAACACTTACTGCCACAACCAGTTTCACCAACAATTGCCGTTGTCTTGCCCGCAGGAAAACGAATGCTCAAATTATTCAGGATCTATTAATGAAAGATGATTGAAGTAACAATTGAATTAAATATTGGGATATTTTCAAGAAGGAAACAGCTGATTCTGTGTCATTGGAATCAATGGAATCTCATGAAATCCCTTGGAATCGGTGGAATCCAAGGGGAAACGACTTGCTCCTGTACTTCTAGAGTACACGAAGCACATGAAATACACGTAGCACAATGAAATGCATTAGATGTAATATATCATGAAGGGATATTTCTTTATAACCTACTTTAAGATAGTCCCTATAACTTTTCTAGCTCTGCCTCGCGGCCTTCTCCATAACTCTTGAAGTTCTATATGGAGGTGTCATTCATAAGTTTTTACTGACCCATTGGGGATGCCCTCCATAGGTTCTTATGAGTTATTCGGAGGTACCTCGAGGGGTGTCCAAGGACTGAGGAATAGGAATTCCTACTCAGTTCCCTGACATTTCCTTGGATGCTAAAATTAAAAAAATACAATATCCACGGTATTTATTACTCTTACACTCGTTTTCATCAAGAAATTTGTGCACATGAACGTATGAGTACGAAAATTATTGCAAAAAAAGCATTATCTTGACTTTCATGAATGAGAGAACTGTGATGGAAATAATGGTCAATTCCCATTTTCCCAAGGAATTATCATAGCTACGCTGACAATTCCTCCACAAATTAGGAATTCCTATTTCTCAGTCCTTGGACACTGTTGGTAAATAATCTATAAGGACCTATGAATGGTAGCTTGAAATCCTTGGGATCCCGGAATCTTGGATCAGCTGTTCCCCCTTGAGTATTTTTATTAAAATTTTATTGCCTATAGAAATATTCGTTTAAGATTCGAAATATACATACAGTTTTTTTTTCCTATAAAAGACACTTAGGACAATAAAATATAGTTTTTAAATTTTTGAATTTCAGTCTAAAAAGCTTTCTTTTTTCTTTTCAATTTCTCTGGTAAAAGTAATTCTGAATAGGTAATATAAAATGAAAATAGTAAATAACATACCGGTTGTTTTTCTTTTCTTGATGGATAATTAAATGTAACATTACGAAGTTCAATATCACCTCGAACTACTTCTGGTTGATGTCCCATACGATTGGTATAATCAATTGACGATTTCTATAAATAAATAGTTGATTAAATAGTTTGCTCACAGAAAGATAAATAAAGAATTCAACTAGTCGTTTATATTTGTTCATTTTTCTATATATGAGAACATTATCATTACGTTTAGCGTTTAATTCGTTCACTCATATTCAAAATCTCGAAACCGATTCTCATTTTTTTTAACTTGACGAATATGAAAAGAAAAAACGAATCTTTTAGATAAATGAAGACGTTTTAAATATCGAACATGTTTGTGTTTTGTCATATTAATATTTCTATCGATGTTTTTACATACCTGATCAATAACGGCAAATACTTTTGCTCCTGAAACGGCAGCTTCAATAAAAGCAAGTAAATATGGAATGAACAATGATATGTTATTTGTTGCAAAGAGACATGTGGTGAAAATCTTAAATATTGAAATGAAAATAATTTTATATGTGAAAAAAAGTTGAAAACATACAATCATGACAACACCAGCATCGTAATTCGAACATTCTACGCGTGCCAAATAAGGTCCATACCAAAATATGAGAGCAATTGCACCATACAAAGCGATGCTGACAAATGCTTGACTAATACCAAGAAGAAGACCTTTTTTTAAACCGGCATTCTTTGCATCTGTTAAACTTTGTTGGTATCTATTAACATGATTTTAGAAAAAGTCAAATTAAATTGAAAATAAAAAAAAGAGTTTTTCCTTACCTAGTACGTTCATGCTTTTGACCTCCAAAAGCGGTTACTGTACGAATAGCTGAGAGAACTTCATCGACAATTGCATTTGCTTTCGTATAAGCAGTGCCCTCGAGTATTGTAAACTTTTTCATAACCTATCTCAATAAATAAGAATTTATTAACTAATCAACAATTAAAATAGAAAGTTTAAAGTAGACGAATTTTTCGCTAGGATATAATGTTGAAAGCCGTTTTATTCAACGTTTAAATTATTCATTTATACGCAATTTCAAGAAGAGTTATTGACTTGAGAAAATCATCAAAGTACATATTTTCTGCTGAAAATTTTTGAAATTTATCCTCAGTATAAAAGTTTTATTCTCTTTTTTTGATAAGTTCAAAATTAGAAAAAGATATTCATCAATATCTTACAAAAGCTACGAAATGTTTTTAGATATACAATCGGGAAAGATGTCGTAAAATTAGTAAGATAATCCAATAGTATACTCACAGCAAATGTAATATTAAATGTGATAATAATCAGAGGAGAAACGCTTAAGAAAACTAAGGTAAGTTTCCAGCCAGTCCATATTGAATATCCCAAACACGCAATGACACGAGCAAGAAGAGCTGTGCAATCAGCGACTTGGTAACCAATTCCTTCGCGTATATTATCCAAATCACTAAAATATAAATAACATAAGAATTTCTAACAAGAAAATCTTCTGTTCAAAAACTTAACAAGTAGATTTGCTCTGTATTTTTATAAATATTTTTTCAAATCTATGTGAAAAATGTTTGATTATTCGATCCAATTACTTAGTTTCTTCTTAACTATTCCTTAGCTACCGTCTTTTTTTTTGTAGATTTCGCCGTCTGTATTCAGTTATGTCTGTGTGGATATTAGTTTTCTACTTTGAATCATTCTTCTACAGTTTATTTTTAGATGTTCAGATGATCTTAAAAATATGTATTCGGTTATTTTAAGACGAATAAATATATCAAATGATTCTATTCTATGTTGTATTCCTTGCCATAAAATTTGAAAAAAAAAATTTGAGGTTTTCTGAAACATTTCTGACATACTCGACGAGTAGACCAGCAGAAAGATCGCTTGACAATCGACGATCAAACCAACCAATATCTTGTCGCATAATATTTTTAATTAATGCATATCTATTTTAATTATAAGAAGAGATTTTTGGTTTTTATTTGTTTTATTTAAGATCTGTTAGACTTTTACCTTATCTTACGAACTTGACGTTCCGCTGATATAATCCAACAGTTAAAAGCAATCCATAAAAGAGCAAAACAACAGCTACCGTATACTGCATACCATTTAATGGCCGACATTATATTATCATAAGGTGAGAGATTAGCATCCAGGTATGATGTTTTATTACGACTAAAAGATCATAAAATATCTTTTATTTTAAACAGAAAAAAAACAAATTTGAAACTCTATTTACCAGCCTAATCCAACATTTCCTGTTGTTTCAAAGCCTGTTTGATTTCTATCAATAGCAACAAATGAATCAATTATGCTTTGATAAATACGAAGGACCAATGGAAAAAATACACTACTAGCGATTGCTACAAAAGAAAAAAGTCATGCATATAAGTATTTCCACAAACATAGAAACTGCTACTAACCAGCCAAAAGTCCCACGATCATCATGACTATATCCCATCTGTCAGCAAATCGAAACTAAACAATTGAATTTTTTTTTCTTCCTATTAGACATATATGAGTGTGATATAAGACTTACAATACGAAAAGGTTTTAATCGTGGTGGAGAAGATCTATTTGTTTCGTTCTGTACTGTTTCAGATGTTGTTGATTGCGTCCTTCAAACAAAAAATAATACATACGAATATTATATCTATGCATTTTAGTATTTTCTCTTCGAAAATATTATTAGATTAATATTCAAGTAAGATAAAAGATACTTCTTAGGCTTCATCCGCACCGTGTATAGTGGATAATTAGGGAGCTCAGCTTCCACCCAAGGAAATTTTGAGCCCCATCGAACGAAGTCATTCGAGCTAAAACTCCACGACGAGCCCCACACCATACAGAGTTTGAGTAGCTGAGCCCTGCCCATCGTCAAAATCCAGGTTACATTACTAACTGTGCGAATTAAAACTGAACTAAGAAAACTGATTGGTGTTACTACGTAAAAACACCAATCATATTTCTTAATTCAGTTTTAAATCACATAGTCCAGAGATGGAGTCTTTAGGCGTTATTTACACTATGAAAGTTAATGTCGAATTGAGGAATGTGATTGCTCTACAATTTAAAACAGACTTAAGTCATTTTCAAGAGATGGCTTAACTTTAATACATCAATCGAGTGCTATATTGGATTCACTCATGAAAAGGCACCTATGCCATCCTATATATCTACTTTTATCGAACCCATGAATGTTGCTGTCTAGACAATTGCTTCTGTGATATATTCCCTCCAACGGTACGTTATTAGAACTCCGAGCAACAAAAACTCAATTGTAAATATATTGAAACTATATGCAAACATCGTCCTCATCCCACCGTCAACATAAACCAATCAATTAACTGTTAGAAATTCATATTTTTTCTACTACTATTTATTTTTGACATTATTTAGGAGCATTGGTTTCAGTTCGGTTCCGTTCCTAGGAGCGAAAACCTAAAAGTGGTCCTGGGTTCTGAGGTAGAGAAATCCTGAAGTAGTTCTAGATTCCTATGATCAGGGCCCACATACTGAATTGCTGGCAACAGAAATCCATAAGTGATGTTGGGTTTCTACGAACGAGAATCACATACTCGATTCCCAAAAACCAAGAATCATATTTGAGTTTCTGTTTTTAACGATTGGAAATAGGATCCCTCATTCTTGGAGCAAGTGGAACAACATGCCGGTTTCCACTTCTAAAAGCCCGAGAACATATAGTGACTTGTCACACAATGAAAAAACGGATGTCTAAACGCGGCAGTATTTCAAAAATGTGCAAAAACGATTTGCCAAGTGTTCATATTTGTTGAGAACGGAACCTCAAAAACACGTAGTAGATGCCTAATTAAATTTCGAATGTAAATAAAAATTTCGAAACTACATGAAGGCTACAGTAGATATAAGTATTTAAAAAAATTTTATCTAAGTTATAAATTATCATTCAGATAGGACTATCCTATAACTGTAGCAGAAAAGCAGAAAAAATAATTTTATCTCATCTGTAAATTATAATTCGATGTGGCTGTCCTATAAATCTTTTTTGCCCCTATGCCCTACGTTACCCATTTTTCGCTAACCCTCACTCTGGTCCTTGTGCTCTAGATAATCCCTTCTGTCCTCAACCTCACCCTGGCATCTGAGCTTTGAGTAACCTCTTTTGCCAGCATCTTCATTATGACCCTGCGTCCTGGGTAACCCCATTTGCCCTCAATCTCACTCTGGTCCGTCGTAGTCACCACTGCCCCTCTGTCACTCTCAATACAGTTTTATTAATGATAATTTATAATTGAAATACTGTTTTTTCTTCTTTTGTTGTAGGTAAGTACCGGCTTGATTTTTTTTCAGTTATTTTCGAAGTCATCTTATGCAGTTGAAGCTTCATTTATATTCGAACTCGAATCAGGCAACTCATGAATTAAAACGCTTTAGTTTTTCTGAATATAGAAGTTTCTTTGAACTATTATGAGAAAATTTGATTCCATGAACGTATTTGATCACTATTAAAATGGTAAAATTTTTGATACTTAACAAAGTAAGATTCTTCCACAGGGAAAATAGAAAAAACATCGGTGACAAAGAAAGTTTGAGTATTTCGAGATAAACAATAATCAAAAATTTTGTATCTACAATAACCTTTTCTTTGCTCATTGAGATCTAATTGTTTTATAAACTCCAAGATTTTTTTCTCTTTTAAGTAATAATAGAAGAACAGACGTTCTTAGACAAAAAGCATTAGTGAAAAATATTGCTTACCCTTTAGTACCATTAGAGGAGTGGTGGGGACGCACTGCTGTATGTCCGTCAATAGAATCATAGTCGATGAAAGCAGGATTGCTTCTGCCACCGTTCAAATTAGAGGAAGATTCTGAGTTCATATTTGTATGACCATTCGAATTAAAATTAGGTCTATTATCAGCATAAAACTGTTGCTGACTATGCATGGTGCTTTCTATACACTAGTGTTATTTTCTAGTTGATTCAAGTGTAAATTCTAACTTTGATGATAATCAAACTAAAATTATATAATATAGTTAGAATATGTTTTTATTTTGTTGATAGACATACGCTATAAAAATAAAAGAAAAAGCGTCAGATAATGCAGACGGCAAGTGTCAAATTTCACTATTGTTCTGACAAATAGTTTGATGTAACAGTTCCGATGGGTTTTGCATCTGTTTAAATATATGATTGTGATATTTCATAAGCATTAATAACATCTTATGAAAGAATATTGGGGGTAGAACCCATTTCTTTGTCATAAAATGAAATGAGACACTTCCGGTTTTTTATCGTCCTCCACTTGTTGTTTTTTGTTAACATCTTTACAACACTCTTTCTCAGTAAATCTTATCAATATGATAAGGAGAGAATGTTGACGTATACTTCTTTTTTTCATTCTTTTACGTTCTAACATGATGTCACTTTTTTTTCTTTCGTTGCTTTTATCTTCATGTCCCCCACACATCTATCAACAACTGTCACCTTTAAACGAAAACCAACATCTATTTTTCCTTTGCAAAAGAACATCAGGACAAATGACGCAGTATATTTCATGAACTTCCTACTTTGCTATTATTCTGATGATATTATACTGTTTACGCAAGACACTTCATATGTGAAAAATTTACAGATATTCATTAAATAATTAATCATATGAATCAATTATAATAAAAAGCTGTTAGCCTAATCCCTGCGCGATTAAAATGTGCAACACGATGCAGGTGTTGTTAGTAGTTACACGAATGTTTTCTTCGATATCCTCGCATCCGTTAATAAATCATTGTTTATTAATTCCTCCGGAGCTGCAAAAAGGAAGCAGTTGACATATTTGGGTGTGGGTGTGGGGTGTGATGTTATTTTCCACACCCAGCGGCACGCACACCCTACCGAAAAAAGGTAATGATGGGATTTTTGAAGGCATAATCTACTTCGAGCTTCTTCCCCGTAGCACCACAGTTGATGCCGAGTTCTGTGAGAAACAACCCCTAAATTTGGAGGCCATCATGAAAGCCAAGCGTCTAGAACAGCACAAAATTCGGCTACCTCATGAAAACACCAAACCCTATACTGGAAAGGTCATCGGTCAAAAGCTAGAGGAATTAGACTGACAGGTCTTATCTCATCCACCACATTCATCAGACTTAGTATCTTCCGGTTATCATCTGTTCCGCTCGCTTCACAATCATCTGTGTGAGAAACACTTCGACGATCAAGACCACTTAAAATTGGACCTCGAAACTCTCTTTCAGTCTCATTCTACGAAATTCTATGAAGATGGTATTATGGATTTGCCTAAGAGATGGGAGTATGTCGCAGATAATAATGGTACACATATTGCTGATTGATACTCTTTTGTTTCAATAAAATTTTTAAAAAGTGAAAAGAAAAATCGGCAAGGACTTTTGCAACAACCCAATATGAGCAAAGGAGCTCAACTTTTGGCTCAATAAATACTATAATCTAGACTTCATATCTATGCAATAACATCATAGTTTAGTGATACAAACGTACGAAAACAGCGAAAATTCAATGAAGAAATGGTTTCATACAATACATATTTTAAAACAAATGTCCCCAACTTTCTCAAGAGAACTGCAAAACTTAACAGTACTTCCACCTTCTCTTGTTCGCTCGTATAATCAAACTATGATATTGTTGTATAGATATGAAGCGTAAATCATGGTATTTATTGGGCACAAAAGTTGAGCTCATTTGCTCATATATTGAATGAATGAGAGTCTTATGTAGCAGTGGTCAAATTTCGTGAGTTCTGAACTCTTGAGGAATTCTTGAACTCAAGAAATAATATAAAACAGCAAAACCATTATAAAACAACAACTAAGCAGAACGCTAGTAACTCTAAGAACTTAAAGAAGGATGATTTGAGGGTAGTTTGAGATTGAAAACGAAAGTGCGAGCCAGGGTGCATGGATGAGGATGTTGAATGTTGATGTCCTTTGTTGCTTGAATTCCTAGAGTTCTTCAAATTTTGAGGGTTACGCGGGTTCTGCTTAATTGCTTTTTATAACTGTTTAGCTGTTTTATACTATTTTTTCGAGTTAAAGAGTTCTTGGAGAGTTGAAAACTCCGGGAACCTGGACGAGTCTCAAAGATTGGGGTACAATAGTGCTATATATGCTAAAAGTTTCAGCTGGATCTGGTCAGATTCCATCCAATAACGACCTTATTCTTCCAGTGATTCTCCAGTCATTCCTAAAGTCTGTGATTCCATTTAATTTAGATAGTACTTTTTATATAAAATAAAATAAGTAAGACAACCCAGTGCGTAACAGGAGACTATCAAGTTGTCTCTCAGTCACAGAAGCAGCAAATAGAGGATCAAGACGGCTACGAACGCGAATGGCGCCAGGCTCAAGGATGGCCGTTTTATTCAGTGATAAAATGCGGCAGTAGGATAGAAACTGAGCTACCATGCGATAGTTGGACACGTTCCATTTGTCAGCTTTGGCTGTTCGACGGTGCTCCCGTTTACTCAAGCGAGTGCTAGATGGCTTCCAACCTTTATAGTCCGAATCACCGATGTTGCCATGATTGGAAGCCTTAGAGACAGCAAATTCGTCATTTGGATCAATTTTAGATAAACAACTATCAAGTATTGTGAACAAAGGTTTGCACTCGATACGCTCAAAAATATCGATGAGTGGAATTGATGAAGAGAAACCTAGTAATTGATTATCACCCTTTAGCTGACGAATATCACATTACATGGCAACAATTTTATTCTTGATGTCTCGAAATATCTGAACGGCATTGCTGATCCATTCGCGACTTTTCGGTTCGTGATAGTGCTCTGTAAGACTCCAAAGCATCTGAGCTCATAGTTGGCAACCACAATCGCCGATATGAGCATGGAACTGCGCCCAACATGCCATCCATTCTGCTCACCTTGCCAGAATAAGTTGTGTCAAATTGGACGAGTGCAACATCCAAATCGTGAACACCATAAAGGAGTCTGACGAGTGTCTTGGAGAGGTCGCCTTGCTTGATTTTTTTCTCATCTGAACTGAGAAGAATGTTTGCCATTTTGATCAAAGTGCTAGAGAATAGAACGAGTGATAGTATGAATATCTGAAAAAGAAGAGAACATTAGTTTGGTGCTCGTAATCTATCATCCTTCATCTTCGTACAGAACAACACTACCTTCTACGGGGTGATCCATAAATAATTAGATGATAAACAAAATTCAAATAGAAGCTTAAATTATTAATAATCGATACTGTATCAGTTTTTTATTGATCAACTACACTAGTTGCATCTTCAAGTAGAAATTTTTCAAGCTCGTCTTGTTCTAAAAGCTAAATAAGAGAATTTTATTTTTCAATCAACATAAAAAAGTTCGTTCGAGCTGTTTGTACATGATCACTTATCAATCGAATACATTAATGTTCAAGAATTTAACTAATTCAAATAAAAATGGAAGACAATCCGTTGAAATAATTGTATCAATCCTAAATGATTTTGAATAAATATTTCCAGAAAGATGTTTTAAACTAGGTAAAAGAAGTTCATTAGCAAGTACGAGTAAATCATCAACAGAATTATTTGAGATCTGTATAAAAAACAAAGTCAAATTTATATTTAGTATCGAAAATAATTTTTACTTCACATTCATTTGAATAAATATAATATGAAAGTGGAAGAAAAAGTTTTTTTCAAATATGTTTTAAAATTATTGTTAATTTTTCATTATTTGGTTTTAAATGGCATTTCACTACCAGCAATCTTTAACAAAAACACGATTATTTTTCTAATCTAAGGAAGATACTTCTTATAGTGTCAAATTACATTTGAACCAACTTTTTGCGCAATCGAACGACCTTAATGACTATTAAATGCTCTTTTGACTTTCTAGATCTCTTGATCAGATATATCTACCTATTTCTGTTGATACTATTCAATTTTATTAGACATTCCGGCTAAAAAAGTTTTTAGAAGAAGCAATAAGGACTTATTGCTTCTCCATTTTTTCTCTAGAGAAAGCAATTGTACATATTACTTCGCTGGTGCATCGTTCATGTCCATATGAACAGTAAACTTATACTTAAATATATGCTCTACTATGTATTAATATCGACAAAATCGAGACAATTAAGGAAAGCAATAAGTTTCTATTACTTTTCCATGTAGTGCTGACGCGCCGTTTATTGTCAGACTGACTACTATCTCAAACTTTTAGAAAAAAAATCGGAGCTTTCAAAGATATAAATTCATTTGTTATATTGATTGATAAGAAAAATATGATATTAATAATATAACTTATTCTATATCATATTTACATGTAATCGTCTTATTAGAAAATTTTAATCATGGAAGAATTACTTCAAGTGTAGCCTTTTTTTTAGAAATATTTCAATATGACAAACACATCTAATATTTGAAGAAAAATAAAATAATAATTTCATCTATTGTGTTCTCTTAACTAAATCAAATTTTCTAAAGAAAAAAACAACTATATTTCTTTTTATTGAAAAAATCAATATAAACTCATAAATTAAATCATCAAGATTAATTATCTACCTCCTATTCAGTTTTTATTAAATAAGTTGATGAAATTTAATTTCAGCATAATAGGATGTTTTTCTAAAACTATTGACATATGAAAAGATATTTAATGTAAAATGACAAATTTCTTTTTAAACCAATTCTTTATTCTAAAACTTTAACATCATCGGTTATGGAGTTCAATATGTATTTGATAGTTTAATTTCAGTAGATCGGAAGTAACAAAACGTCAAATATAGATCAATTTTAGAGATATTATTTAAATAAAATATTCATCAATGATTTGTTTTAATAATAAACACAATATTCATTATGATCTTAGAAAACTGAATATAAAACTGTCGACGGACCTTTCTTCTCTCAGTTTTGTTGGTGTCCACTTATAATTCGAAAAACAACGTCGTTTCCTTCAGTAGGACAGCGAGTCAAAAGTTCTTAACATGTCTAAACACGTCCGTCTCGCTGATCAGTTGCTAGTGAATATGACACTTATTTTGAACTGACTTTAGTCATTTGTAAAATGCCATGTTTGATACCTCTAAAACGAACGATGTCTCATGTATAGCGAGCCTCTCAACGGTTAAATCTTTTTTTTTTTTGAAAAATCCTAAAAATAGAACTTAACAGCTAGCATAATAAAGGCGTGGCCACGCGGCAGACATATAAGGAAAGGGATGAGCGTGGTGCATATATCTGGTATACATACCTATTACAATTATACCAATGTTTCTTAGTCAGTATATGCTCTGAATTTATAATGTTTTCTAACAGCGATGAGTGCAAGTAGAAATAACTTCTACGAAAAATTTTTGTTTTTTGCAAACTGATCAATTTTGTACGCCATGCTTTTCAAAGACAAGATTATAAAACGAAATTCTATTCTTTTAGCAACTGATAGTTCATAAAGTTTTCGGAAACTGATATAGAATTAGTTATAGATTATATAGTTCAATTTTTTTCAATCATGTTTCTGTATGTTCAGGAATAAAAAGGTTAATATAATATTTTTTTGATCACTTTCGAAAAATTTCTCATCACATTCTTTTGCGTATATTTTTGTTATGACAAAAAAAAAAGACGTTATGAAATAGTATCTTATTTGAAAAACAGATATGAATACTCAAAGTTCATCGAGATATAATTAGTTAGAGACTAATCTTTTTTTTTTAAACTTCAAAAATTTTTGAAATATTCTATATTATATAAATTTTCATCATTTCACATTGAAACGATGCTAGTTGGAATTATATCCCTCTTAAAATGTGCGATGAAATTAAATCATTCTCGTCTATTTTTACCACAAAAATTTTTTTTGAAAATTCTTAAGTGAAAGATTATTATGAATTATTATTTCTCGTTGATTCATCCCGTATAAAAAGAAAATCTACACTAGTCAATATCAAGCACTGGTGGTTCAGTGGTAGAATGCTCGCCTGCCACGCGGGCGACCCGGGTCCGATTCCCGGCCAGTGCACTTTTTTCTTTTTCTTTTTTTCTTTCATTGAGCGTAGTCTTACATATTACATAGATTTTCATGGAAAACTTTAAAAATAAAATAAAATAATTTCAATCTGTTCTTGTTTGTTATATAATTACAGTTCATTTTATTTTTCTGATGGCTCACTGATATACTTGAAAAAAGAAAACGAAAGAAAAAAGGCATTAAAACATTAGAAGACAAGCCAAGAAGAAAAAAACAAAAAAAGAGAAAAAAAAAGAGAAGAAAAAAAAAGAAGAAGGAAAATAATAACATCATCATGATGTCGCAACAGATTGATGAAGAATATTAGTTGTCGATGTTGTTAATGGATCTGTATTAATACCAATAGTTTGTTTTGTTGGTGAAACAATTGGTGATGGCTGGGATGAATGTCTATTCATAAGACTTGCAATGGACGGTAATGGTGAAATTTGTTGTTGCTGTTGTTGTTGTTGTAAATGTGAAGTTGTACCTTTTGTAAACATATCAACAATATCATATCGAATATCCGTTATTGGTGTTAATGATAATGAATCTTTTGTTCGTGAATTAATATTTGTTAATAAATTACATGGTTCATTAAGATGAAGATGTCTTGCAACATTAAAATCAAGTAAATTTTCTGAACGAGATGTATTATTAATTGGTATTGATGTTGATAATGTATGTAATAAATTCGTTGTTGGAATTGATTGTAATTTTCGTTTTGATGGTCTTGGTCTTTGACGAGTTGTTGTTGTTGTTGTTGTTGTTATTGTTGTTGTTGTTGATTTTCGATTATTTAATAGTGTTTTTGGATCGATTAAATCTAAACAAAAAAAAAAAAAGAATTTGATTTTCTAGAGAAGAAAAAAATAATAATTAAAAATATTTACATGAATTTGTTTTTGTACTATGATGATTATTATTATTTGTTATAATATCAATAGATTTTTTATTTATATGAGGATTTTGATCAAGTTGATCATCATCATCAATATCATCATCATCAATTGTTCGATACATTTCAGCTTCAGAAGCTGTACGTGTTGATGTTGAATAATCAATATCAGAACATGTATTAAGCCATGTATCAACATTATGTCCTTCGGAATTTAATTCAGTTTTAAGACAACTAAGACGATTTTGTAATTCAATACTACGTGATGTTAATGAAGCTATTTCTTGTTCATATTCACGATCTTTTCGTGTTAAAGTCTAAATAAAAGAAAAACCTATGAAAAACAAAAGAATAAAAGTAATGTTTTTTTGTTTGCAATGGAATGATTTCATGTCCGAATTGGAAAATGTTGGACTTGATGTGCTCTAATCGAAAGTACTTTTATGATCGGCTATCCGAATTCTCTGCTTTTTTGATATTGAAAATAATGAGTTCATTATACTATTGAATAAGAGCATAAAGAATAATACCGTATTTTCTTTGTCAATAATTATCATGAAACTTAATAGTGAGTCTAAAGAGATGATTCATTTGATTTCCTATGAAATATAATCTTCTTACAACTTTTCAAAATATTGATCTTTTAAAACTCTCTAATAACTTCTGTTAAATGTTTAACACAGTGAGTTATCGACACAAGTGTTTCATTGTAGCACTAACATTTGCGTTCGCTGCAATATTGAGGCACCAACTCTACAGAAATATACCCTTTTCGTACCGATGTGTTCTAATGCTTCAGTGTGCGTTCACTACAGTTTAAACACATATGATGATTATTAAAAAATGAACAAAATTATATTTACTACATACAATAGATCATTTTATAGAGAATCAAATAGAGTATCCTTTGAGGCTAATCATATGAAATTTTTATTATTTATGAAGGAAAAAGTCTCTAACTGATTCACGCAGTTTTCACAGAAAATCCTAATGGGACATCTGCCGATGGCTTTTTTCTCGAAATTTTAGGATCTAACGTCAGGTTCTTTCGATATGAAATCAAGTTGTCTTTAGAGTATCTTGAAAGTCTCTCTATTTATACTGGAGTAATAGTATTTATATTTGATGAAAGACGAAGTGAATCAGTTGAAGTCCTTTCCTTCTAAGTGACTAGTTTTTCCTATTAATTTTAGAGATAACCTTGATCAGATTACAATGTACTAATTGAAACGCTCCAAACTCACACAATATATTGTTCTATGATATTTATTGATGAATGGATTTTCAAGGTTAATGATTGTAATAAAAAAAAATCGTCTTAGTAAAATTCTCGAAAAAGACAATAGAACTTCAAGTTCTACACTAAAATGCTCATATACAGTGATTAAAAAAATTCTCCAATCAGTAGATTATTTTATTTTATTTTTGCATATATCTTAAAAATTAGATCAGCTAGAACGATCTGATTTTCGTTAGATAACAATCTATAATTTCTAGGAAAACAATGTCAGACTAATTCATTGATTGATTAAGTTTTTATTAACATTACTTATTTTTGCAAGCTTATTCTAACCTGAAATTTTTTGTGTATGAGATATAATTCAATAGAACAAATAAACACTCTATGCAAGAAGTACTTTTTATCGTAGCTTTCTTTTGAATACAACATCCTTTTGACTCATACAAATCACGGATCGACTTTTTTATACGATTTTATTCACGTATTCAAGAAGTTTCATAGACTATAAACTGTAATCTGACCAAAAATTGAATTATTCTAATTTATCTAGTTTTTGAGATCTACATCAAAAATAAAATAAATATAAAGAAAGAAAGATATTTGTTTTTTCGACGATACATCAAAAATATTTGAGCAAAACAGAAAAAAATCAATATTATGATTCCATCGAGTATTAATCCAATATTCACTTAAATTATTTTATTGTCTTCATTGAATATTACAAGCAGTTTATATCGTAAATAGAAAATGTTAACTATAAAAATTTTTTTTGTTTTTCATACCTGAATATATTTAATAGCTAAATTAAGTACTTGAAGATTTGTAATTTTTCGATCACGTTGACATGGAACTTCTGCTTTGAGACTATCAAAGCAATCTTTTAAATGAGCTCGTCTAAAAAAAGAAAATCAGAAGAAATAGAAAAATATATTTTTGATTTTTTTTTTTTTCTATTTTAAACTTTGAATTTAAAAACTACCTTGTTACTTCTTTTGGAGATACCATAAGAAAAAAAAAACAAAAGATAGTGATAATATACTCTAACTCTAAAATTTGACTATCGTTTTATTTGATAAAAAAATCAATGATAATTTTTTTTTTTTGTTTTTGAAAATTATCAATTTTAAAAAATTAAATTTAGATTTTCTTATGAGTTTATTTCAATCATCATTTGAATTAAAGATGCCGCTACTTACCGATGTTTTTCTAATCGATTATGAATTTCACGATCACGAAAACATGTTGTTTGAACACTAAAAGAGAAAAAAATAAATTAAAAAACAAAAAAATTCCTTTTTTATTTTTCATGTTTTACCGATTTGATATTTCACTGTTTCTATTAACATTTTGATTATTTGTATCATCATCATCGTCATCACCATCATCATCATCATCATTTTGATCTAATGATAAACGTTGTTGAATAAGATGATTATGATGATGAAAATTTAGATTAAGATCAACTTGAGGATATTCATCAATATGTTCATTTTTTAATAATGATGATGTTGATGTTACTACTGTTGTTGCTGTTGGAACTGTTGCTGTTGTTGTTATGGTTGTCGGATTTGTATTGATTGTTGTTGGAGATAGAACACTTGTAGGTACATGATTATTAGGAGTTTGACGATCGCCTAAAAAATAAATTCAATCGAAATCAAACAATACAAAAAAAAAAAAAAAACATACACCACCAAATAGTTGACATGCTAACATAGGAGAAGTACGTATAATGTGACGATCTCTTTTTCTCTCTCGTTTTTTCTTTTTTTTTTTTTTTTTTTTTTTCTAAATCAATCACTATCTTATATGTACGACCGTCAGTCCAGCTCAATAATCGAACCGTTAGATAAACGATGACGAAGGAAGGAAAAGGAAATGAACATGACATACATACACATGCATATATCTGTTTCTTGTCGATCAAAAAAAAAAAGAAAGAAATATGTATACAATTGAATATGTTTTTTTTTCTCATCAATATTTTACAGTACAACTTTGTGCTTTCTCTTTCTACACCTATATTTTTTTCCATTCTGTTATTATAGATAAAAAAAAAGAATTTGACGATCAAACTAAAAGCTTACTTATCAATGATACCAATTCGAATTGCATACTTTATATATAATATAAAAGAAGACAAAATGTGTCCTTGTCTTATTATTAACAACGGGAGTAATCGACGATAAAAGGAGAAGAAAAAAAAATTGTATTGGATATTCATATCGACGTACGTTACACATGAGCGAATTTTGCTTGCTTCTAACTATTCCTCCTATCATCGGTTGATAATGACAACGAATATGAGCGAAAAACTGCTGACAAATACTATCACATACAATCGATCAAGTGCATAATCACGAAAACATATCACTAACTAGTTATGATTAAACTTAACAAAAAAAAAAGAACAAGGACAAAAATTTTATTGATGAAAAAAATCTTTTTAAGTGCATCTAATTTCATATAGAATATTTTCTATCTGTTCTTTTTTTTTTTATCGCTATATGTTTACATCAATTGATTGTTAGCCACGTGCCTGATTCATTCATTACGTCTATACATACGTATATCTTTCATTCCTACTATATAGTGATGCAAAAAAAAAAGAAGACGAAACAAAACGAGTTATACTCACCTCTAGCTAATCGTTTTTTAGGTGGAATTGATTGTTGACTTTCTAATATTTGTGCTGCTTGTAGCAAAGTTTCAATATTCATCATTGATATAAATATTATTTGAAATAAATTTTCTTGTTTTGTCTTTTCAGAAAAAAGATATTGAATGATAATAATAATAATAATAATAATAATAATAATAATGAATGAATGAATAAATGAAGCCGAGTAAGTAATATGAAAGAAAAAATACACACACACGCACGCCCCACGGACACACAAAACAGAAAGTAATGAAACTAAATTCTATTGAAGATTGAATGAAAATTTGCTGCTGTCGTTGTTGTTTCTAGTTTTGCTGCTGTTGCCACTGCTGCCATTCGATTCTTTCAGCTGCGTAAAGCATGTAGCTGTCGACTGTCGATCGGTCGGGCGGCGCTCATGATGTTGGCATTGTAGAAGAAAAAGAAAAGAGAAAAAAAGGAGAAGAAGAAGAACGTGCGCACGGGACCACGCATACAAAAGAAAAAGAAAAACGCGAGACGACGCCAACAAGCAATGAGGAGAGAGAGAGAGAGAGAAAAGAGGGCATAAAAATACAAATGACGACTTGCTTATGTGTGTGTGTGTATGTGCGCGCTCGAGAATCGAGAGAGAAAAAAAAAAGACGTCGACACACACACATACATAAAAGCCACGAAACAGTGTGCGTGTCAAATAAAAAAAAAAGGAGATACGAGGAAAGGAGAAGAAAGTGATTGTGTATGTATGTATGTATGTGTCGGAAGAAGGAGAACTTTCACGTGCGTAATGTGTGCACCAGTTTCTTTTTTTTTTGTTCTTTTTTTTTTTCTCTCTTTTGATTGTCTCACAGACGATGAGAAAAGTGAGAACGAGTAACTCGTGTGTTATATGTATGTGACAATAAAATAAGAATTATATAAAAATTGAGAATGAAAGAGAGAACAAAAAAACAAACACATGTAATATAAAATAAAATAAGAATAAAAATAAGAAAAGAATATTTACAAATTCTTTTTTTTTCTCTCGTAAGCTTTATGTTAAATATTGATGAAAATCGTCTCGATTTTATGTCATAGGCTCTTTTGTTCTAGACATTTACATATAGAGTTGATCGATAGTGAACTATTTTTAAAAGCTATTGGCAAAAATATAAAATATCAACAATCATTTCACTACTATCACAAAAAAACGATTTTTTTTTTGTTTTTCTTTCTTTCTTTTTTTCTTCCCGAAATTGATTATACATGACCAAACTCATCGTTCTTCCGTTTTCTCCTTGTGTTGTCGTTCTTTTTTCTTTCTTGCTTAATATTATTACTCCGCATGTCACCAAAAAAAGAAGAAAAAAAAATCGGCGTCACTAAAACGACATGACATGTAACGTCTAGATGAAGAAATTAAAAGAAAAAGAGAGAGAAAATAATTTTCTTTTTATCGTTTCACCATGGTTGCGCATTGATATCTGAGTATTTTCTTTGTTATTTTTGACAAATTTATCATTAATGATGACCAATAAAAAAAAAAAGAAAAAAAAAAAAACTTAAGTTATAAACTATATTTATTTTTATAATCAAAAATATAAATTTATTTTAGTTTTTTTTGCAAATTTATTATTAGTCAAAAGGAGTATTGTTTTTTTATTGGTATCAAATTGAATTTATTCTTGTGGAAAATTTCCATATCATTAAAATTTTTATATAATCAATTATTTTGCGTTTTATTTGAAGAACAAAGTCAATTTTCTAACAAATAAAATATTACAAACATAAAAAGTCCGGATGTGTTAGAAATATTTTTCTAGATAAGAATATTTGCTGTTTAAATTAATAATTTAGTTTCAAGTTGATTTATAGAATGTAAATCTTCATTTAAGTGAGAGGTCTACAAGAAATCAAACTTATTCCAGTCTAGTTTTTCTTTTATACCTATAAATAATTTTTATCCCTTTAGGTCTTTTATTCCATTTTAGTCTAAAGACAATAAAAGGAGTGAAAAGACTTAAGGGGTTCAAAACTAATAACATGACTAAAGGGAGTAAAGAAACAGTTAGACTAAGGTAAATTTTATATCTCATAGATCTATGTTGGAATAGAAATTTGAATTATGAAATTTTTAATTGATATTTTGTTCATAAATAAGTTCTACAAATTTTAGTTTGAATGGATGCATTTTGTTTGACATACGGAATGTGTAACTAGAGAAAATATACAGCTGTCAGACGTCATTCGACTTCGTATTATGGGTACAATTAGGTCTTGATGACACTAAGAAAAGCTTAAAAATATTCAGACCAATAAGCCTTTTATCATGAAATTGCTACTTCGAGTAAAATATTCCCGAAAAAATCCAAAGCAATTAGTTTTAACCTGAAATTTTTGCCTATAGGTACATTTGATGATTATTAACTAGCTGTGAAAGCATCAAAGAAAATGAATCTGTCTTTCTCGAGATATTTAATTTCCAAAAAAAAAAAAACAACAAGACAACGGTTTACTGTAAAAGACACAGTAATCGAGTTCAATTGAAAAATGACTATCTTGAGAAAGATATATTCGTTTTCTTCGAAATTTTCACGGTTATTTAATGACTATCAAATATACTTATAGACAATATTTCAAATCAAAATTATTTGTTTTGAATTTTTCCTAATAAAAATTTCATTAAAACAACCATGAGTCCGAATTCTTTTCAATTTTTTCATACTTTAATCGCAGCCATAATATAAAACCGAACAGGTTCCAACGGTTGGATATGTTCTTTAGTAAGAATAATCGATTCTATCTATTTCGCCTATAAGATATTGCTCCTCTTGATATACTCAATATCTCCTGTAAAATACATTCGTTTGAGTTGAAATTCGTAGAAAATTTCATAAATCAATTTTCTATGAACACATGACCAAGAGGATAACACGACCGTTGTACTTCAGATAGTTGCTCTCGTGATATTGAGTACTGGTAGTAGTAAGGATGAGCGCAAAGGGAGTGTCAAGGAGGAAATTAAGATGAGAATGTGAGGGCGAAGGAAAATGTCAGGCCATAGCTTGAGGTTAGGACAAGAGCGAAGGAAGTGTGAGGAAGAGGAAATCTATATATAACTTCAGTACTTCTAACTTAGAATCGTAGGAAAGAAAATGTCAGGAAAACAACAGCTGTGGATTTGACCGAAAGATCTAACATTCATAATTCTGACTGGATAATGTATGAACCTAAGTCCATTTAGATTTCGACTAGTCTCATAAAATTCTGCTTATGAGTCATTTGATAAGCATGATCATCGTCCGGAAGTTGTTAATTGAACAGATAATGACATATAAGAATATTTATCTGTCGAGAAGTTTTCCAGAATTCTAACATTTTTCATCATATTTAGAATTCATTGTCAGCTGTTGATATTCAAATGTATTATATTTATCTATTAACAAGAGAATAAACATTTTCGACATAGAGCAAAAATCAGTATAATTACTATTACGTTTTACAAAAAAAAAAAATAAAGTATCTAATTAACTGTTAAAATTTACATTAATATTTTGTATAATAAATCCATCAATCCAAAATGAACTATTGTATGATATAGTTATGCACAAAATAATATTTATCTATAGTATAAAAATTACATTAAGACGATATCTAAAAAGAAATATAAACTTACTTCGTAATGAAATATTATGAATCGATAGATGATTATTTTTTGTCTAAATGAATTCTATTTTTGTAATAGTAAAATTTTGAAGATATTTTTTTTTTCTCTCAGAAAATGTAGGAAACATTTTTGTTTTAATCAATCATATATTGAAGAATAAAAAACAAAACAAAACAAAAGTTAGAATGCTCATGCATTTTGTTTCGGTGAAAAAGAAACTGGACAAGCAAAGAAAAAAACCACACACAGCACACAGTTGCCTAAACAGAAAAAAAAAACCAGAGTAAATCGCATAACAATAACAATAACAATAGTTCTCATCATTCTCCTAATTCATTTTTAAGTCATATTCATAGCTTTAGCAGCATTCGATGGTTCAGCTGATGATTTCGGTACTTTAATTGTTTCATCAACACTTAATATTAAACAAGCTGCTTCACTTGCTGCTGTTATAGCATTAATTTTAACAACTGCTGGTTCCCAAACAGCTGCTGTAAAATTATCATGAACATCTTCATGTATTATATCAACACCAAACCAAATATGATCTATAAAGATGAAAAAAAAACAAATAAGAATATCAAAAATATAAATCTTTCGTTTTGTTTTTTGAATTTTACTTTCAAAATGTTTTTGTCGAAGTTTATTTAAAATATTTGTTGCATCAAATCCAGCATTTTCACATAATTGTCTTGGTATAACTTCAAATGCTTTTGCATATGCAGCTATAATTAATTGTTCTTTACCTGGTATTGTTCGACTATAATCACGTAATGTACGACTTAATGCCATTTCAATTGCACCACCACCAGCAACAATTGAATCATTTTTAACAGCACGTCGTACAATCATAATTGCATCATGTAATGAACGTTCAACTTCATCAATAAATTGTTCAGCACCACCACGTAATATCATTGTTGCTGTTTGAGCTTTTGGACAACCAGTAAAAAAATTATAACGTTCAGAACCAATTTGTACTTCTTCAAGAATGTCACATGTACCAAATACATGTTGAGATTGTTCATGAAGATTTTCAACAGTTGTTATTATTGTACCACCACATGCTTTTTGTGTACGTTTAAGATCATCTTCTTGTACACGTCCAGCACAAAACATTTCTCTTTGAAAAAAAAAAAAAAAAATTTTAAATGTCAACAATTCAACACGATTTATAGTGAAACTTGGATTTACAAAAAAAAAGTCGGAAAAGTCAAAAGCATGCATAACTCTTCTTCTAACTATATGAAAAGTAAAATTTAAACAAAAAAAAAAGAAAATTTTTATTCAAAATCATTTACCGATCAGCAAAATATTGTGTTGCAACATCACCAATAGGTAATTTTGAAAGAACAACTTTAACACCAGCTTTATATAATTTTTCAAGTTTATTATAAAGTATTGACCATTCAGCATCAACAATTTTTTGATATTCC